GGGCCTATTCACACATAGGAAACCAGAATCAAGGAAGAACTCCACCCCACAAATGCCATGTTGCTGGGGATGGGATGTCATGGTGGCTCACTTGCTGATGACACTTAGTGCTCCTGCTGTAGCAGCAGCTCTGTAGGCAGGAGGCTCTCATCCTGAGCTGTGGACTGTTCCAGCTCATGTAGGAGTTTTTCTGACCTGGATGAGGAAGGCAGTTAGGGCAGAGTCCTGGTGGGGTCTGCCATGTGACCTGCCAATCTGACATCACAGAAACTCAGTTGTGCTGAACAGTCAACACTGAACTTTGGCAGCAGTCATTGTTTGGATCCCTAAGAGATAAGTGTCACAGAATAGCTGGACCTTGAATTCTTTTCTGCCCATAAGTATCAGATGTTTATATGAGTAATGTATGTTCTGTGCTCTATGAGAACAGGCCTTTTTCCTACAGTCTAGGGACATCATTTAAACAAAAGAAATAGCATATTAAATTCATACATAACAACATAGTGGATATTCACAGAATGTTCATGATGAGTTTTTCATTGACCACCTCATTTTTATATAGAGACTTAATACAACTTTGCAAACTAGACACTGAATAAGGTCATGTGGAAAAATCAGCTCTCCTGCAAAATAGAGCCCGTCATGCTAGAGCAGCATTTCTTGATTCATGTGTCTGAGAACATTGCCACTTTATGAACTCTGGGAATAAACAAAACCAGCTGTGTTATCCTTAGGCCTACAGCTGGGAAACTATATTCTGGTACTCCCTGAGAAGTCTGTTCCACAACATTCTGCGAAGGTTCTGAACAATTCTCAGCAGAGACATCTGCCTGAGTTCATCCTGCCAATGACTAAACTTATTATATCCCCAGTACACATTACATGGGAAATGCTCAGACAATGAAGATAGCCAGGGTGACATCAAATAGTGACAATGATGTGAATCTCATCCCTACAGGTGTTATTCCTGAATAAACATGTAATTTCAGATATGGTGAGACATAACTTTAAATCCCATCACTTTGAAGGCATAAGCAGGCAGAGCTCTTTGAGTTCAAGGATAGCCTGCTGAGAACATACCAGAGAAATCAGAAGGGAGGGATGGGACACGAGTACAGACCCAGGGAGTATCAAACATATTGTTTGCTGGACAGAAGTTCTTGTTGATAGGACCAGCATAATACTCTGAGTTCTGTGTTGGTCTACCCCTGCTTGGAGCAAGGAGTCTTA